CTTCAGTGCAAGTCATCCTATACTGCATAGACCAATCCATACCATATCACGCAAATCCCGACAGATTCATTTTGTTGGAGTTTATCAGGTTGGTACAGTGTACAGTGACCTGAATGTACACGTACAAGTACACAGACAAGTACATGTACATGCATCTGTTGGATTTTGTGAGGTGCAGTAGGCTTTCTAAATTCTAGTTCAAGAGCCGGGGGGGGGATAGGGTTAAAGGTGCAGCGTTTAATGCTAAACCTTCCCAACCACACAGAATTAAACTGTAATAAAGTGTTTAATTCTGTGGGGATAGGTCTGGTTGGCCCATAACAGCTGGCTTTTGCATTTGGTTTGTCCAATAGCCTCTTTGCACAAAGTGGGGACTTTGACTTTGTGTGAATGGGGAAGGTTGGGGCCAGCAACCCTTGGGGGTTAGGGTTAAAGCCTTATATCTCCCGGAATCCATGTGCGATTGAATTGAAACTTTGCAGATAGCTGGAAAGGGAAGTGTTATTGATGAAAATAATGTGACATTTAACGTCCATTCTTTAAAGCCCTATTCTCGTTTTCATAAAAAATATTCAAAATGCGGAAAAGCCTTATGCTCTATTCTTGAACATGCATAACCTCCTTGTTTGAACTTCCACATCTCCTGCTTCTAGGATTGCTTATAATACTCGGCAAGGTCTGTAAGTTTGGATATGCCGAAGAAACTTGATGTGCATGTGCAGTGAAAGTGCAGTTCAGTGCTGAGGAAGATACATGTACTTAAGTGCAAGTAAAAAGAAACCATGAAGTTTATAGGTTGGCTGCTCCAACTGCACCTTTAAACACCTCATAGGATTGAGATGACAAGGTGCTTCTGGGAAGGGCATTCCACCAAGCTACAGTGTGAGGGAAGAAAGAATATGACAGAGCTGGATTTGAGCCAGTATCTGTTGATATTTGTTTGGGTGAAGGAACCAGTGGAGTGAGATACATGTATGTGTAGGGGTTAGGATTGACAGCAACAATCTGGTATTGGATCTTTTGCCCAAAAAAAATGACGTCTTTCTTTTAGGGAGGAGCATTGGAGTTCCTTTCCAACAGAACCAGTTACACATACATTTAACTGCAAATTGAATCAGTTTAGTACCTGAAACAATTTCTTACATGAACCTACATGTGCGTGTAATAAACTATCCATTTTTCAGATGCCATTTAATAGGAAGCAGAACTACAGGTAGTATTTAGGCTTTAAGGTTTCTCTCACTCAGATTGCGTACCAACTGCAGTCATTTGCAAAAGATTAAGACCACCTGGAATCTTATTGGTATTTCTGTCACTCGGCCTGCATTACATTCTCTCACTGAGTGATGTTTTACAGTGGTGCATAACATCAGTGTAGTGCTGTATACCCATTTGAATGAAACCTTTTTGCAAAGGCAGGTCTTGTGTGACATTTTGTCTGTAAGGCTGCATGGGTAAAAAGGCCAGTCTAAGTAATCAGAATTAAAGGAGGGCCCACTAAATATTANGACTCTTAACATTTCAAATCATGGAAATGTAGTCAAATAGCTGTGTAACCAAGACACTAAGGTTACACATTGAAAAGAAACATAAGTTGCCATGATTAATTAGTTTAAGTTTTTCTTCAGGGTAATGCATTTTGTATGGGTGGTTCTAAACTTTTGCGAATGGCTGTACTTCTATTCGTATCTGACTGTAGTGAGTCTATTTTTCACACAGATCGATGATGACGAGTTCGATATCCCTGAGTTAGAGACAGCACCAACTTTGGACAGCATTTTGAATGAGGTAAAGTAAACCTGATTGGCATTGTAGTTCACAAATTTGGTAATTTGAAAAGTGTGCCGTGTTATCCAATCAGAATCTTTATCAGGCCGTGCTTATTTGGAGCTTTTAGTGATTAGTCCTAGGCCATGTCAGAATTACTTGGCTGTGGCTTGACATTACACAAGAGTCTATGGTCTTGGCTGCAGCCATTTCCCATAGTGTTGTGTGTTGTTTCAAGCCACAAGTACTTTGGACCCTTAGCCTTAGTCTTAACCCTCCCATGCTGAAGTCACTCTTTGGGACACTTGGTAAACACCTCAGAGAAGCACAGCTGTGTTGTGTTGTGCACTGCAGCAACATGCAAGAGAGTGACCTTGGGCACTTGTGCATATTTGTGCTGTAAAACTAAAGGAGGGTTAAAGGGTTGACGGAGCACTGGTAGGCTGTGATCAGTATCACATGCGATTAAGATTTCTGTGACATCTGATGCCTCTTCTTTGTGTATTAGTTGAACGTTCACAAGCTGTAAATTACGCGTGCACCGAGTCATGCATGTGGGAGTCCTGACTTCACACTATACTGGCTCATCGCACTTTAACTCCCCAGATTGATTCACTCGTAACCATACCCATTCACACAAATTCCAACGCCATATGGTAAACTGTGCACAAAAACTGTTGGACTCTGTTTATTTTGGGTATGCCCGAACCCATGTTAAAGCACAAGCAGTTTAGGGGTACAGTACCCAGTGCCACAAATTCACACACTTTACTGGTGTTCAATTCTGTGTGGTTAGGGAAGGTTAGGGTTAAGTTGAAAATATGCCATTTATAAAGTGTGAGACTTTGGCATTCTTTCATTCTTTTGACTTTTATAATTGCGAATTGTAGTTGACTATAGCACTGCTCTGGCATTTCCATTTGGTAGGCAGTCTGGAGCACAGGCTTCAACTATCTCAGTTACTTGTTAAGCGCATGTTGAATGAACTGCTTTATTTTATGCAAATTTTATTTTAATCCTATTAAGTAGTATGCAGACATTTGTGGTGACATGCAGTGTACACAAAGTTAGCATTAACAGGATCAATGTTGAATGTGATTCATTCCGTCTTTTTTGTTGGGTTGGGTTTTTAGAATGATGAACCATTTGAAGTCGATGCCCCTTCTCTGAGTCTCTTCAGCCAAGCTCCTGATGGCTCGACATCAGTTTCCGAACCCAACACACCCAGCAGGTCTCCCCAGAAATTGTCAGGAAATAGACTTTTATGTAAAGGACAGCTACATGTACTACCGTCTCAGGAAGCATTGTACCTGATGTTTCATTGTCTGATCAGTTTTGACGGAGAAGAATTATGATGCTTATGAGTGGAAAGATTAGTTGTACATGTACATGCACCTTTACTTGTAATCAAACAGCATGCATTGTATGTATGCTTGTTGTCTTTGATCTTTAATTAAAACCGTAACCCTGCTGCCTACTATGGCTAGAAACTCTGCCAGACACATCAGACTGCATATTTGTCAAAGTGGCTTACCTGCCCAGTGTACCAAGATCCAACCGGTCAACTCTTCCCAGGGCCAAACAGCCTGGGGGTCTGTGGTTGCCAGTCACCACAAGATCCAACAGTGGCATTGTTCAACAGGACTAGTTCCCATTGTCTCAACAATTGCTGTTGATTGCCCAGTGCATCAAAGTGCATCAGACTTTTTTACCTGATGTACTGTGGTGCGTCTTGCAGGGTTAGGGTTATTAGGTTTTCCCTTTTTTATGAAATTTCATGGCAGGTGATGCCGACTTTAATGTTAGATTAACTGCTTAATAATTTTTTTTGTGAGCAGTGTTGCTCAGTGCAGTCAAGGACCTGCAAGGGCCTCAAAAACTCCTGTACATAGCTTAGATTTTTGTCAAGAGCTTAACCTGTACTTGAATAAATTTATGTTTTAGATTTATGTTTGCTAAAGTCACAGTTGCCATGGCTGACTGCATGTTGAATTACTAAGATGACGCGGTTGGATAAGTTCCAAGATTTGTTCAGTTTTTTGATGTCCTTTTGATTCAAACCAGCATCCATCAACCTTTTTTGTCCACAGAAGCCGGAAGAAGAGTGTACAGTATCCAGTCCATGGCTCCATTATTCGCCATGTTGTACTCAAGAACATTTCCTCCCAGGTCATGTCCGCTTCGGTGAGTACCCCCTTTCCCCTCACAAAATAAAAAGAATTGTACAGTTTCATCTCCTTGTCTGAGTCAAACCAAAAGTGTGCCAGAGATTTTCAGGCAAAGTTTACCTTGTGTCAGTACTGGCATTGTCTTACTGTTTGTGTTCGTGTAAAATTTGGCTCAGCTAGAAGCTAGGTAAAACCTGCCAAGTATTAGTTTAATGTTCAGCGTGTGCTTTGTAATTATTGCATGTGACTTGGTCAGCCAGTAATCTCTGTTTTTAATTATCTGAATTTGTCTTCATTTTCCTTGCTCATCTTTCTCTAGGATCGTGTGCAAGCAGGCAGTCCTACAGCCATGGCCATTTCACAGTTCATTGCCGTGGGAACCTCACATGGTCTGATTCTTGTCTTTGGTGAGTAAGAAAATTAAAAAGCCTTATCAAGCTTGTTAATTTGTGTGCTGACCGTAGACATGGGCGGAGTGTACATTGTACAATGTCATTAGCAAGAGTCAGTGTCTCATATTTTCGTGTTGGTTGACGACCAGTTGCTTGGAGAGCACACAAAAAGCAGTCATGTGATTTAATCCATGGTTCCAACCTTAACAGTCGTCAATCCTCTGATTTCATTTTGATTTACGTATACCGTAGGGGGTTAGGGTTATACCCTTGAAAAATTTCATTTAACTTTGGAAAGATAAAAATTACTTGATCAGTAAAGCCAGGGCCCAATTCCTGGTGCTGCAGAATAGAAAATCGACAACACTTAGCAGAAAATTATGCTTACTACAGTCATTTGCAAAAGTTCAGGACCACCCATACAAAATGCATTGACCTGAAGAGAAACCAAATTTAAACCAATTAATCATGACAGCTTATGCTTATTTTCAATGTGTAACCTTAGTGTCTTCATTGAACAACTATTTTACTACATTTCCATGATTTGAAATGTCAACTGTCAAATGTTCAGTCTGCCCTCCTCTGTTTCTGATGACTTCAAGTGGCTTTTTTTTACTCATGCTGCATTATAGACAGAATGTCATACCAGACCTGCCTTTGCAAAATTCATTCAAATGGGCTCATAGAAATACTCTGAGGCTTTGGGCTACGGTGAAAAACATGTTATGTAATCATTCAATGAGACAATGTAATGCAGGCCCAGGACAGAAATACCAACAAAATTTCAGGTGGTCTTAAACTTCTGCAAATGACTGTGTAGCAGAAAGTAGCTGTGCTAACTATTGTTTGAGTACAGAGATTTCCATTGGAACGCCACAAAGTTAAGCAATCTTTGTCCTTTGAGGTAAGCGTGCATTCTCTGTGCTTATTGCTTATGGTCTCCATGAAATATGCAGAGCCTCTGTTTGCTTAAACTCGTGTGTTTGGTAGCACTGTGAAAGTGGGCCCCAGTGAAAATGTCAGAACTTCAAAATCTCCCAGGCTATGTGCAACCACTTTCGTATATTCACAAATGGCCAATCAAGAAGTTCCAAGTGCTCAGGAAGCTGAAGTTAATCTTGACGGAGAAGGTACCATTTGCACAGGTCGTTACCCATTTCTGCTTGTCGTCTCTCCTCAGATCCAAACCAGGTGTTGAAATGGTGTCTGGGCAGCACTGCGTTAGGAACCCAATATGGCGCTGTGTCAGCCCTGGGTATAAACAACGACTGTACTAGACTTCTGGCCGGCTTTGCTAGGGGACAGGTAATAGTGTCTAGTAAAAATATTTTTGTTCGTAGTGTCGGTTTGTAATATGCTGTAGCGATAAATTGGTAGGATGGTCTTTGCTCTATAGGGGTGATGCCTTCCCCCAGTGTTCAGCGGTTTTGGTTTTGCATGAGAGAGTGGAAATTGGTCATGCTGTTACCAACATCACTATCGAAATGAAAGTGGAAATGAAAGGAATGGTACAATTATTTCCATTTTTAGTTTTTAAAAACTTCTTTTGTTTATAAAATAGGAATGTTTGCTTTGCTTCAGCTGCTTTCCAGCAGTATAAAAAAAACAAATTTATTGGATCTGTGTGCCAGAGGCAGTAGCATTCAACCTACTCTGAAAATAACTTTATGTTTATTGAGATTTTGACATTAAAGTGTTGGGGTGGTTTTAATTTGCCAAATCTTTAGATGTCGGCTGCCTGTGAACATCTTGAATAAGATTGCAGTAGAACGGCCTTCTTGACAAGACGAAATTTAATTGACAAGCATTAAAATGGCAATCTCTGTTTTTTATGGATTTGCATCTTAGATCACTATGTGGGATTTGACCAATGGTAAGCTCTTACGAACCATCACAGATGCCCACCCGCCAGGCTCAGCTGTGTTACACATACAGGTAGGGTGAAGCAGTCCAAGTACCAGACTTGTAATGTGTACGCTAAACCTTAATGTAATGTAACAGATCTTAAAGACAGGTTGGCATACTTCTGTGCTATTGAGCAGGAAGTCGTGGGTTCGAATCAAATCATTCAAACGGAATGAATATATGCGCCAGTTTAAGGGCAAAGCCTAGTACGAAAGACTTCAACTTCCTTGGACCAGTGCAATGCTATGATGTGATGAAATGTATCCATATTGTGTGCTTCAGAACATGCAAGTAGGTGCAGTACCACTGCAGTGATAGCGTCTCATAGGATTAATCTTATACTCCAACTGCTTGAAGCAAGGGTGTACATTTTTGAATGCATGTCTTTCACCCCTAATCTATTGTAACTGCTTCAAAAATCTACCTTACTGGGTTTTTTTGTATCTTCACGGATTCCAGACTTGCTTCTTTTATTTTGTCGTGAGAACGTATTGCAAACATAGTATGTCGGATTTCCATAAAATTTGTGTTGAAAAGATTGTAAGATCTGAGAAAACTTCTGAAGGCTCGGCTAAAAAATAAAATTTGGATTGTGATAATATTAGAGAACTGGGGGAGGGGAGTTCCTCCGACTCCTTCAGGTAAAGAAATTGTCATTTTTCTTTTCACGACCGCCATACTGACTTCATTTTTGTTTTTCCAGTTCAGTGACGATCCCACCATGGCCATCTGCAGTGACAGCGGGGGCTCTGTCTTTGAGCTGAGCTTCAGGCGAGTCATGGGCATGAGGACGTGTGAATCCAGATGTCTCTTTTCCGGCAGGTACATGTATAGCCGCAAAGTAGGAAATGGTGGTTATCAAATTGATGCGCTGAGCAAGAATCAGCAGGGGAACTAGTTGCAAGAAGTATCAAGTGTATGACATTTTATTCAGTAACCAAATTTTGCTCAGCAAATAGTTTATGTGCTGAGCCCATTTGTTTGCTTGGCAACTGTATGCTATTTTACTGGGGTCATGTGTAGCAGTTCACTGAATTAATCATTTTTTTCCAGCTGGTTTTGGATTGTATTCAGTGAATACTCTAACCTCATTGACCACTTGCTGCTGGGGAATCCCGTTTCAAGCACCATGGGTTTATACACACACCCGCGGTGCCCGAAATGGGACAAAAGAGCTGGTCCGTGTAACAAAAGACCGTACTCCAAACAAAAGACCCGCTGCTGGGAATTGCCATCATTTTTCGGCTTGCATTTTTCAAAGGTAATCTGTCACTGATTAGCACCACGGACAAAAGTGTTCCAGGGCCCAATTGATGAGCGATACAGCACCACTGCATGCTAATTCAGCCGTGTTTGAAAAGACGCCACTCGCATTCACTGGGGACAAAGAAAATTACGCAACACCTCACGGTTCTGGGATCTCTTTACAGGGCGGCAGGCCTGGCTGAAATACTCAGGAGTCAATGAATGTTCCTGTCAGCTTAGAGTAGCCACCAAACAGTCATTCCTGTGGGTGTAAAGTCAGTTAAATGAAATGATGGATTCTTGAAGAATTTTGAAAACTGAAAATCTTGAAAATTTCCCGTATATGTGTACTGCATTTTTAAAAGCACCCGGCAGCAAGTCATTATACCCTTAAGAGCTCAACATGGTGCAACAGGCAGAAATCTTGAAGATCTCTTTGCATTGGGTAGTCAACATGATCTTGTTGAATCCTGTGGTGGACGGGAGACTGGGACTTGCAGATTGTGTTACCCTTTGAATAGTTTAATTCCAGGATCTTGTACACAAACACTGAGTAGGCCTGTTATTTTGACAACTGTGACATGCGGTTGTGTTGAGCAGTGCTTTTAGCCAAATACTGTTAAGGTTAAGAGTGACAATCTTGTAAGGAATTTTAATTTGCTGGGTAATTTTTGAGTGTTTGTAGATGATCTGCTGCTTTCGGAACGAGATCAGCTTTGAGACCAGTAATTGCTTAACTTAACACCTCAGAAAATCTTGTTTCTGCTCTTGATAAAGTCAATTTCCCCCCTCCTTCCTTGTTTTCATCAGCCGTGGTGAGATGGCGACCATAGCACCCCTTCACATGAACACTGTCGTACAACACCCAATGAAGGACATGGCTCTCCTGGCAATGGCCACCTTGTCCAAGGTAAGGAGACTGAGCAAAAGACATCAGAGTAGGGGCAGGGGGCTACAAGAAAGCCCCGTGCATGGAGAGGTAATAGTTGGAACAAACTGCTGCATGTCTGTGACCAGCTGCGCTCCGTTAGGCAAATTAATGTGCTTAGCGAAAATCAGCTGAGAGCCAGTCAAAGGAAATATACAATGCAGAAGTAGCATGTACGTTGCATGACACTTTGACCGTTAATCTGTTTAATCTGTTTTTGTTGAGTAATTTGATGTCTCCAGTTACATGCAGCCAATTTCTCTGCCCACTGCAACATACAATCTGCCACACTTTAAATAACTGGCAAAGAAGTTCCTATCATAAAGGAACCCTTTTTTTGCCTGTATGTTAAGATGAAGAAAGTATTCACTTGTAGCTGTATTCTGGAGAAGTATTACTGTGAGACTGCCGTGTGCCCAATGTATCAATCTAATTTTGACACCTGGCCAGAGATCTGAAACCTTATCTGTTTTTTCCTTTTTTTCCATGACAGATTTTTCTGGTTGCTGTGCGGCCAAAGCTTACAGTATTATTCACCAAACAACTCAAGGTAAGCAAAAATTATCTTAACTTTTATAATCCCATTTACAGTGTACTCTGATAGAATTGCCACCCTGTCTTTTTTATAGACTATGTTTGACATTTTGTCCCGGAGGTGTGTGGCCTAGTGGTTAGAACTTGTAACTCAGCAAAGGGTTGAGGGTTAGAATCAAGTTGCTGGTTACAAGTTGTGACCTTGGGCAAGTCACTTCACTCTGCCTTGCCATTCTCCGCCCTGGAGTATAAATGAGTACCTGTGAGGGCAGAGGAGGTTGTCTTGTTTGATTGGCCATTTTCACCAAGAATGGCAGCTTAGAGCTGAGCAGGGAGCTGAGATGGTTACAAGAGTGTTTATGGCCCACTGAGCAGGGATAAATGTGATGTAGCACCTTAACCCTTCCTGACATAGCACAACCCATCAGGTGAAAAAGTCTAATGCACTTTGATGCACTTGGCAATCAACAGCAGCAGAACGTACTGGCCATGTTAAGACAATGGGAGCTGGTCCCATTGAACAGTGCCACTGTTGGATCTTGTGGTGACTGGCAACCACAGACTCCCAGGCTGTTTGGCCTCGGGATGAGTTGACCTGTTGGATTGTGGTACAATGGGCAGGCAAACCACTTTGATACAGGATGCAGACTGATGTGTCTGGCAGGGTTTCTAGCCAAAGTAGGCTGGAGGGCTAGGGTTAAGCACCAGTAATAGTGGTTATGTACGGCCATATAAATACCCCTTCTCATTAGAAAGTCAGTTGTTTCCACGTTTGGTTTTAGTTTTAGCTTTCCGTGCCATGTGTTTTAATGTGTTTCCCCCACCGTTTTTCTTTTTGTGATAGGGTGATCCGACCACCCTACCCTTGCTTGCGTGGCAGTTTGTCGTCATACAGTCGTCAGATGTCTCGCGAGTCGTGGACCCTGTATTGGCATCAGCCAGAACAGACATGGTTTATTTCCATCAGGTAATCTTTTTAAGAAGAAAAAAAATATGATGACAGATTACATCCCCCCCAAAACCAGACAGATGCAAACAAGTTTGAGAGTTTGAAAGATAAGGTTGTCCACATCAGGATCATATTAGGATCATACGTTTTTCAACATTTTCCTTTTTCCAAAGATTGTTTTTTTCCGGACCCCTCTCTTGTGTGTTCGAACTGAAATGCCAGAAAACAAAGGGATCTCTGAATTAGATATTATCATCATTTTTAATGTAAAAAGTCCCACCCTTCACCCCCCTCCCAAAGTTCAGTTTGTTCATACATGAAAACAATGAAAAAACAATGGCTCCTTTGTTCCATTTATGCAGATGTGAAACAGAAAGCCTTGACAAACAGCTATGTGTGGCATGATAGTTTAGAGTGCCAAAACGTGCTGTTTAAACAGATCATTGACTCCAGGCAATAACAGTAGTAGCCTACAGGAAAAAATCAAAGGCACAACATCAAGTGATCAACCATGCCAGTCAGTCTGTGATGTCATAACTGATGGGACCTCTGACTGGCCAGCACAGGCCGTCTCAGAGCAGTATCAATGAAAAATCACTTCGGATTCAAAACACAACAGTTTACCGCACTTGTGCGCAATTTGTCTGATCTGATTTGTCTGCCCTTGTGAAGCGACTGCGATTAGATCTCCTTACCATGCAACATTCCTCTACCGCTTGTGTGTGTAAATGGGCCCTTCACGAGGTTGTCTTTCCTCCTCAGGTGCTCTACAATGACGAAGGCTTGGTCAAGGTATTACCACTGCAGTCTATCAACCTGCCTTACAGCCTCATTGCGCTACATGTAAGTAGCCTGCTAAAGTAATCAAGCGTCATTGACCAGGTCAAGCTGGTTCGTGCTCGGCATAAAGGGGGAGTTTGGTAGATTGTGACAAAATGTTCATTCTGCAAAGTTGCTTTTGGAATGACTACGAACCAGCCCTTGGTGTGGCACATTTCTGATAATTGATATGATAATAATGCACCTTTCCTGAAGGTTGCAAAGTGCAAGGTGGACTTCCTGAAAGCCATAAAACCAATCATGAACCTCAAATACAAGAGAGCAGATAAGTGTCAAGTGACGATTGGAAGATGAATGTTGAACTTGAACAACAGATTAATACCAAGTGGAAATATCTTAAAGTGACAATTAGCTGTGGATTGAAATCTACTAAATGTACTACAAATTGAAAATCTTTGGTTGGAAAATAAATTTGTATGATTTACCCTTGGCACTGAAAATCTCCTCTTCGAAGTAGTTGGTAGATTATCAAATGGTAAATTTTGAAATCTCATAGGCTTACGTAAACATTTCATTGAAAAGCCATCTGCATAATGGAATTCAGCAAGACTTTAGATTTGCCGATGTACATGTTTCCAAGAGTTGTTAGCAGCTCAAGAGGTGACCGTTGAGAAAGATAGTGTGATTTTGTTACAACCTCTGAGTGACGCTTATTTCACTTTAGTGGTTCAACTCCAAGACCCTGGTCACCGTGGATACCACCGAGCGTCTCCACCTCGTGGATGTGCGGACGGAAGAGGAGCTGGAAGTCTTGGACCTGGTAGACATCGAGCTGGTGTACAGCAGTAGTCACTTCAAGTCACTAGCCACGGGAGGGAACGTCAGTAAAGCCATGGTATGTCGGGCTCAAGGGGCGGGGGCGGGGAAACAATTGGAGGAGGGCCTTGATGCAGCTATAGAGAATGTATATGGCCCCTTTGAATCATCCCTCAGCAACCACGCTGAAGGGAAGCATATGACCACTAGTTTTAGAACCTATTGTGTTGACTAACTTGAAATTAAGTGAAGGTTGAGAATACATGGAGTTCAAATAACCTCAAAATTGGTTGAATTTCGTTGCAATTTAAGTTATTAAAGTGAGCACTACCCTTTGATAGTTTCATATTGAGAGCAAGTATAGCATTTTAAAACAGTTTCTGTCAAATCTGAATTTGTTCAGGTCACTTTAAGAATTGTTTCAGACTTAAATACAAGCCTAATTTTATTTTATCTTTTTTTGTAGGCCCTAGCTGGTGAACGTGCCTGTTACCAGTCCATTGCCTCACACAAAGGACAAGTAGTCATCCTGGGCACAAAGGTATCTCCATATGCTTATGGTCTGATATTAATTATGCTGTGCATGTAATTGATACAGGTAAAACTGATTTCATGTTTGTATCCAGTATGTCATGAGGATGGAGTCAGAAGGACTGTGGATGTAGGGATTTGTGAGAACTCATAAGCAATTCAGGCTTTGAAGTTTGCTTTGCCAGGGTGGGATCTGTTGGGATTTTCTGGGTTGCAGGATGTTCTTAACCCAATATTCTAGATCTAGGTTTGATCATTCATGTTTGGCTACTCTCTGGCACTTTATTTGAAAGAAAACAAAATGCAAGATTGACATAATCACTGATGCTTGGAAGAGAATTTGTTAGATATTTCAAGCCCTGCCGTAGTTGTACCAGCCACTGTTTGGCCAACATGACTGCGACGTGTGAAAGAGCAGCCCCTAGGCATGATATTTTTCCCTAATAGGATTTTAGATTTTTTCTCCTTTCAATTCCTGTTACTTCCTTCATTTTCAACATGCTAAACTATAGTCGTACTTCTGGGGTCTGCAGGAAACTTTTTTTCCCCTGTTTTTCCTTAAATTCCTTCAGGGTCAAATGTCATATTGACATGCAATAAAATTGATAAAGTGTTCTATTGTGCCAAACTCCATTGGTCTTACTGCTTACTTTCTATCATGACTGAAGTCTGTCTTTCCCTGCAAGCGCAAGGGTTGGACTGCACAATGATCGTGCCTATTTACACTGACAAAGATAGATTTAAACTTTGGGATGAAAAGCCTAGTTGGAGTAGCGAAACCTGAATGATCCAGAGGTCAGAAAATTAAGAAATGCTGCAGTCAGTTTTCATTGTTCAATTTGGAATAATTTTGGTAATCATTCACTTGCACTAAAAAGATTCATCCTTGTGATTCTCTTTGGTGTGGTTGTGATTTTATTTCAGTCGTTGCATGTCATGACAACGAGGCAGTGGCATGAGGTAAGTTGCCTTTTATTTTGTACAACCTCCTTGAGTTCCGTGTGTGGTACGTTGAGGGTTAAAGACATCACTTAATCCCCTTCCAACAATGAAATTCTCAGTAGAAGTTTTTCCCAGTCATGTGCGTCTATGATTGTTTTGAGTTCGTTGGAAAAGGCAAAAATTTCAGACTGAGAGAGACATTGGCCTCAGTGCTCAATTCATAGAACTGTGCTCACTGTCGCACATTTGTTTTACCTCCAAACCCAGATTTTCTAGTTGAAGAAATGTTTCTGCACTATAGCATACCTGCCAACCGTTCCGATTTAATCGGCATTGTCCTGATTTTTAAGTTTACAGACCGTAAAATTCAGAACGTTCCGATTTCCAACAAAATAGAAAAAAAATCATAAAAAACATAAAGAGTCATGGCAAAAGAGGGCGCTAAATGTACAGGAAAAAAGAGGGCGCCATTGACTTTTTTTATCGGTCGCCATTTTGAGTAGCGGCAGTGCATCGCTCGCATTTTACATGTGACTTCCGAAATCCGTTGCGCACGTGTAGTTGTGATCAGGCATGTTAGGTGGTGTAACCTCGGTTCAAATAGAGAATTGTTGCGGGATTTAATGAGTTTGTACAGCGATATGGAGAAGGATAAGAAGCAAAAACGCTTGCAAAGATTTAGGAACGAATACAAAGAGCAGTTTCAATTCATAACGACATCACGTAAGGGTGATTTTTTTGCATTCTGCAAGATTTGAGGCAACATATCAGTCTTCCATGGGGATGCAGAGAGGGAACCATCACAAGCATCAAGTTCCAATGGGAACTGAGAAGTATATAGTTTTTGTTTAAAGAAAGTATTTAACTCAAGGTATGGGGAGAGTTGACAATGACAGGGGAATTCTCCTTCAAATTTTTAAAAGTTTTGCCTCCCAAACTAAGGGAAATGTGCCAGGAATTGCCCTAGATTGCACTACAGAGCATCTAGAATCCAAAATTTTCTGGGGCCCTTAAGTGGGCCCCAAACCCCATGCCGTAAGGGCTTCGGGCTCCGCACTCGCAGACGTGTTCCTATTTTTGACTTTCCGATGTTGGCAGGTATGCTATAATGCTGTTGAAATAATGACCACCTCCTTGAGGACTGCATCTGTGGATAGAAGTTCGAGGAACCTAGTCTCCCAGTTGTTGTTCAGTTGCTTCTTTTTTTATATCCCAAATGACAGAGAATAGAAATTCTTGTGAAGGACGACAAATACAAGGCTGCCTTGGCTCTGGCCCATTCCTTCTACAATGGCAAAGCAAAGGCAGTGGTCGGTGAGTAAATCATTGGAGAATTGGTAGAAAAGAACGTAGGAAGAACTACAGTACTTCATGACAGAAAGAACTCACCCAGTGGACAGTTTCTTTGTTGTTGACAGTGTGTGCCGAGCTGTAGTCCATGGTTATAGCATGGTTGCTCTCTGGCAATCTAAATGCACTTATAGATAAGAGGCAAAGTGACGTTCTCATTTGGGAGACATGCACTATAGTGCACCTTTGTATCAGTTACTTTTATGTTCGTTTTTTTTGCTTGCTATTTTAAAAGGGTACTTTGGTGCATTTTTTGGTGATTGTGGTGATAAATATTTCTGTATTCATTAACAAAAGTGAAATTGTCATTGCTGGAAGAAAACCACAATATTAAATAAGCCTTTTGTGAGCTAAATTTGAATAAAATCTGGTACACCGAGCTATCAGATCGCACATAAACATAATTTTAATTTCCCCAGACAAAAGACACTGTTCCTATACCTTGTGATTTTGCGCAACGTTTTGCATAGCGACCACCATCTCTGGAATGGACTGGTTCCTTTGTGCCCTTCTGTGAAGCACGTGTATGAAAAAATCATCACTTGGACCATTTTAATGTAAGAAAGCGTCCTTGGCTGGATTGTCAGTTTTCATTGAACTGGAAATTCATAACCCATTTGTCTGTTTATTAAAACCTGTATTATGTATTATTACTTTCTGTCTTGCTGAATTAGGTCTCTATGGAAACATTGACACTAGACGTCAGACAGTAGCGCAGAAGGTAAGACCCATTGTCAAGTGGCTCATTGCAAAACAAAAATGTTAATATAGCAGTACATTTGTGTTTTATGATTGGATACAAAGCTTGCTTTTACATCCTGAATTTTTGGCAGATCTTGGATTTGCTGTTCACCTTTGTTGATGTCTCCATGAAGCAAGGCCCCCTGAGGGGGGCAATTCACTTGTTGGAAGAGCATTTTCAGGTAGAAGATTTGTTTTGTTACAAGGTTTTTTTAATCCAACCGGTCTTTATTGTGCTCATTTATCGTAAAAAAACTCCCCTCATTTTTTATTCAAATGCAGAGATGCCAACTTGTACGATTTAGGCGTAATTTTTATGCTTTGTTTAGTCCGTTTACGACTGTATGATCCAGACTAAGATTTTTACGATTCCAACTCCCAGACAAAACCATACAATTGTGTGTACAACTGCTCGTTCTGAGCCGACCTCGTAATGCGCGCGTCAGAAATGTGTGGCTGGCATTCCGCAGTACATATGTACAGTATGCATAAATACAGTCAGAAACCAGCGAGGCCGAACCATCAGCTCGCCCCAGTTTTAATGCTGTGGTGAACTGGCGTGAATAGGCACGATCGCACTTCATTTATAACATGGCTGTGTACGCCCATGCACTGTACATGTACACACACACCAAGTACATCGATATCGTTTCACGAGTGCGCAGCGTTATCGTCTTGAATGCCATGATCATGCTAACGTCAGCCGGGGTGGAAAACGATCAAGGATTTGGTTCTTGGATTTTTGGTGAGCGGCTGGACTTGTTCTGCACAATGGCAACAAATGAGAAGTTCAGGGACACATACATATTAATTGGCCTTTATTGCTAAATCTCATTGTGGAAGAAGCTTACATGTTAGGCAATACATGTAACTGTGACATGATAAATATTGCCCACGCTGGATCTTACTGCACGGAGAAACACATTAACATGGAAAAAATACATAAGTCAGGCCAAGAAAGAAATTACTCTGCTTCCGATTACATGCCTCTCAAAATGTGGTTGGTAGGTTGGGATTTTGGTTTTTTGGGTCAATATTTTGTGCTGATTGAACGGGGAAGAAAGCTACCCAAAATTGCCACAAAAGTGATAAAAACTTGCCTTAAATAAAGCAGAAATGTAATACAGTAGACAATTCTTAGAATTAAGGATGATTCACACCACTGTGTACGGCGCTAGTCAGGTAAATGTAAGTGTTTTGATGTGAAAAGAAGTTGAGAGGTGTTTGTGTAGCGAGATAAGACAACAGTATTTTTAATTTTCATTTTTAAAAATTGTTTTTCTAATTTACTGATACAAATTTTGGGGTTGTGCCGAAAAATTAGGGTCAGTTGGGCAACGGGAAGTAGAGCTATTTTTTTGCCTTAACTAACATGACTTTTCCAATAAATTTCAAGTCATAGGTTTTAAATGTATTTCTGTTGAAATGCATAGCAGGTAATTTGGTATCATGGGATAGGATTACACTTTTTCACTTTGAAAAGTTGGCTTCTCTGCGTACATGTAGCTACGGATACATTGCTAGTTTTCAGGCTATTGCACACATGTTTGTAATGATGTCGTCTAAGTGGGCTTCATGTAAGTCAGACGTGTTGTACGTGTATTATGAAGATAGGTATGTCCAACAATGAACCTCAAAGGAAGGTTGTACAGGTGGTGAATTACATGCAATTGAATCAAATTGTTGACAGCAGTACGGGCTGCATAGCATGCATTGTACCTTCATCTAACACATTGAGCGTTGTTGATGGTCACCCAAGTTTGTGTTAAAGAACAGTTCGTACTTGGAATGGGCACGTGCAAAATGGAGGTGAGTTTGATGTCAGAAAACTATATAGCGAAATTTGTTTGAGGTGGAATCTGTCAGTTGCGATCCAGTGATGGGCATTTGTTTGTGGTGCCATCAGCAAGATTGAGGGTTTTGGTGACAGGAGTTTCTCAATCGCAGCCCCCCTTTAGGGAACGCTTGCCAGTTAGACTAAGTACACAACCTGACAATGCCTTTTCCGAGTCTCATCTAAAAACACCTGTTTATAGAAGCTTTTCAGTAGATTCAGAGCACAGTGAGTAGTGTTCTTTACCAGACACCTGTGCTTCATAAGTTTTTATTGTTGTCAAATTCTTGCTCTGTGATTGAATATACTCCTTGGAAATTAGAGAGTTTGTTGGTATTAGTCTTTAGAATAATTGTCCTAACAATTACGTGGATGAAACGATTGGCCACTTTCAGTACATTGATGAATTTGGAGCAAGATGTGTAGTGGGGAATACCGGTAGTTTTGATGATGTAATTGTTTGAGTTGGCAGCTACATCATGGTACACATGCAAATGAGCTGCACCTGTTGAATGTGTTAATGGCAGTAACCTGCATGCATCTACCAAGCATTGTTGACGGTGGACTTCAGAGTGAAGAGTTGGTGTACGCAGTGTACATGTACCAATGACACTTGTGCTGAGTGTCCTGGTCAAGAACTACAGTAGTAGCCTCATGTTGTCAGCTGTGATGGTGCAGCGTTGCATGCATGACAGCTTCATCTCGCACATTGAGTGTCGTTGGCGGTCACCCCAATCCGGCCCAGAGCCATTTGGTGATAGACTGGCAAAGTCAGCGTCCGCTGCCATCACACCTTCCAGGCCAGTCATTTGGCTGGTCATCTTCCCAGTTGCGACAGCCAGTGTTAGCCACGCCATCTTCACCATAAACCCACACAACCTCTTTTTTGCTGTCGGTGCAGTCGATCCACAAGAAGTCAATTGTGGTGGAGGCTGCTGCGTGCAGGTGACTCATGAACTTGTTCTCTTCGTTGGAGCTGGGGACCGCCATGCGAGTGGCCAAGCTGTGACACAGCGAGTGAACATCTCTCCACATCATCTCAGTCTTGGTCAACATGTAGCAAGTTCGGTTCCACTCCACCCATTCCTCAGGGCAGCAGTTCATTGTGTTAACCTGCCCTATTGTCAGAGTCAAAGGCTGTCATGATAAAGACCACTTGGTACATGTTTGTATCGTTTTTTCCAAAAACTGATCTTAAAAAGTTCTTAGTGCCACCAGCAAGTATGTGTATCAAACATGACTTGTGTATAGACCAGGTTTGCTTCTGGACTCCAGTCTGTTGGTCTCGCCGAGAAAAAGAACCTTCATATGCATGACAGCTGAAGACTGCTGCTGTGATCCAGTGACAAGCAGTATCAGTTACTTGTCTTTATGGCTGGTAACCCTTATTTTTAATCGGGAACATTTTTTCTCATACAGAGGACATTTCAGGAGAATGGGTGCACTGATGCCTGATAAATTTATTTGCAACCAGCACCAAGAAATTTGACGAGGAAAGCAAGCTTCCTTTTGTGGGCTTTGATAGATAATGGTGCCATTATTCAGCAGCCCTCCGATTGTCATAATACCAAATGTCTAGTATGTTTGGCACCGGTACCTCTATTTTAACGAGTGGCAGGATAATTGTCATGAACTGTCAGCTTCTGATTGTCTGATTGCAACAAATGCAGTTTTCCCATTAAACTTAATCCTAAGCAGTCATTGATGTGTAACTATAAGGAAAAATGGACTATTCGTGTCTAGTCATCTGTGCCATGTTGTTGTTGATATAAAGAGGAGAAAGAAAGTCTGTTTGGTCAAGCAATTTTATGATTCATTTGAAATAAGCAGAAATGTCACCAGCTGTACATTCCATTTGACATGGATAATTTGCACAGACTCTGTTTTCAAATGTGTTGTATTCACTTGATTTGTTTTCTTCAGCAGTTTTTTGTCCCCATCACGGGCAGATTACTGTGAATAATGTTAACCCATGTTAAGTGAATGAGAAATGATTTGCATCAACCAGTGAAGAACAAATTAGCCAGGGGTATTAGCTCAAAGAGAGACCGTTGCTCGGCAACAAAGCTTGGCAACATATGCACAGAGCTCATTTCCAAACTCCTCTCTTTCTAAGAGTGTCCAGTTTTTTGTGTGCACCTTCATTGGCCATTTCCGTTCGTGGTTTTGAATAAAATTTTTGACAACAAAACACATATCCGTCCTTGTTTTTAATCCAAGCCCTTGCACAATGCTGTCACACACATTCTTCCACAAAAACTGTTACTAAAAATGAAAATCACTGAGACTGCAGGTCAGATTTCTGTCTCGGAGGTAATTTTCTCAAAGTAAAGTAATTTTCTTGATGTATTCGGGTTTTGTAATGTTGTATATTCAAAATATCTTTACATTTCAAGAATGTTCCACGTACTTGCATTGTCCAAATTATCCATCCATGGTTCACATGTTGAGGTTAGTGAAAAAGAATGAGCAACTTACATTTAAAATTTTCATTCCACACACAAAAGGTGAATTGGCCCATTTTCACAAAAGGTTTTCAAAAGAGTGCTGGAAATTTTTGTGCATGAAAGTATCACCAGAAATGAAAACGTAACTACCTTCTCTCCTACTGTACCGTAACATCTACATCACTTTATACAAATCTACGGATCTAATGACCAACTTCTGATCATTCAACGCATTTATCATGTTAAAAATGTTTTCCTTTTGAAATCTGGTCCTTCTTAATATCAAAGTTCAAGTTCAAAGCTTTTGTGTACAAGAAATGATACTTAAGAAGTACTGCACCTCAGGTCAGGAAGGCAGCATCAGACTTTTTGTCATACTGAGTTTAAAAGGGAAAGCATCTGAGTGTTGAATGGTCCAAAAAGTAATGTACATACACGTAGTTAGCCAATATGAGCTCTCTGGTTGAAATGGTTGCTCACTTTTCCTGTAAGTGTTTTGATGAGGGTGAAGCTGCAAAAGTCATATGGATGTGTTGATCTTGGTTCCTAGATCCTTCAACGTTTACTGTGAATAGTCTTTCAGCTGCAGTAATTGAGTTGGCTGTGGCATGAACCCAGAAGATGTGAGAACCTTGAAAAGTCAGATGGCAAAGCAAAGCTGTTGTGAGGAACACTGCTTGGTACACACTGCCTTGGTGCGCACCATTCGCTGCAAAAATTGATACAACTAAGTTCTTGATGCCGCCCATGTTACTTACTCTCCATGTACATGTATGGATTGCTGATCTACGTCCATAGCATGTTTGACAAGGAATTGCTTAGGGGTAAATAGTACGCACCCCTGCTACAAGTGCTGAAATGTGGTGGTGGAGATCTAGTAGCATTTGTTGTCAGCAGTGATGGTGCAGCATTGCATGCCTGGCAGCTTCATCTCACACATCGAGTGGAATTGGCAGTCACCCCAATCTCCCCAGAAGCCACCGCTTCCGAGACTCGCAAAGTCAGCTCCGCTTTCGTCACCACTACCTGGCCAGTTATTTGGCTGGTCATCATACCAGTTGCGGTACTCCATCCCAGTCAAGCCGTCCTCACCGCAAACCCACACACCCTCTTCATCCCTGTCGGTGCAGTCGATCCACAACGAGTCATTTGAATTGGAGGCTGCCAGGTGACTCATGAACTTGTTCTCTTCATTGGAGCTGGGGACGGCCATGCGAGCACCCAAGCTGTGACACAGCGAGTGAACATCTCTCCACATCATCTCAGTCTTGGTCAGCATGTAGCAAGACCGGTTCCATTCCACCCATCCCTCAGGGCAGCAATTGACACTGTTAATCTGCCCCCACGTCAAAACAAGCAAAGCTGTTGTGAGGAACACTGCTTGATAAACACTGCCTCGGTACGCACCATTCGCTGCAAAAATCGATCCGACTAAGTTCTTGATACCGCCCATGTTACTCATTCTCCATGTAGATGTATGTACATGCACTGCCAAAATCATTCGAAACCGATCCTATTTGATGTGCTGTCTGGGTACAATTTCACAGTCCTTGTGAGGAAAATTCCCTATGCAGCAAACTACCTGTTGTATGCCAAGGGTATAGCTGTTGATCAGTCACCAAAAGCAGTATAAATCACATTCTATACTGGCTGGTTACCCGCAATTTCAGGACTATTCTTGGGAGAAGCAGCCGACAGTGAGTGCAATAATGAAGTCTACCATTGTATTGGAGCAATTTTGCAAAAGCAATCACCACCACATCAGCAAAAATTGACTTTATTGCTTGGGGCTGATGTACATGTATTGTCTGGTCTAAATAGCCATTTTTTTCAAGTTGAAAGAACATTTATTCAGACTGGTAACCACTAATAACAGGAGCATCACTGGTGCCTAATGATGTACATGTAATTGCTGCAGTATCCAGAGGTGATTACACATGGCGTCTCAAATGGACATTGAATCTATTGTTTGGATCTTGATGCAACCGATATTGGCTGGGCAGGAGCTCCTTTGAAGGCATACATTCATAGGATGATCACAAGTACCAGTTGCCTGTCAGACGTAACACGCGTGATAGCCATCCGGTTTAATGGAAATTTCACAAAACATTGGCAAAGGCTTGACTGTTTTCATAGTAGCCCATTGTGTTGAAAGCACTGGTATTCCAAATTTTGTTCAACTATAAGAATGGTAGAGAGGGTATCAATTCACTTTTTTTCTGGTAAATGGCAGGATGACTGGGCCACCTATCTGGTTTCCACCTTCATAATTTATTAGGAATCAGAATGAGTCACTTGTAGGTTCAGTGTCAGTTACAAGTGGATCAATACGGCTGTTTCACAATAGTTCGCCACCAAGAGTTTGCAACGTGTTGGCCAGTCAGAAATTTGTCGACCCTTTCAAAATGCGCATTGCGTCAACAAAATTTGCGCATTGTGATTGGCCAACACATTGCAAACTCTTGGCGGCACACCATTGTGAAACGGCCGTATTGATGGTTCAACAGTCATCACTGACAAATAAACTTTCAAAAATGACAAATCCACACCTAAATATTGCTAAACTAATGAATACTGATTTAATAAAAAATACTAGTTAAGACTGTTTTCATCGGAACCCCTGACATCATATGAAACAAAAAGATGGCAAAATACCAAGCTGAGTGTAGTGAGTCACAGTGACTCAACATGGAAGGCCTGTTAGAAATATTGTTCTCATCACAGTATGTTTATTTCCCTTTTTAGGGCTTAAAAGGAGTTTGTCTGTGTTTTGATTTCACAGTATTTGATTTTTAGATGTTGAGGATGTGTATTCATACATGAATCATGCATGGTAATGTTTTATGTGCAACACTTAGGGGCTTGATATCTTATTAGCTGTTTGTTTTGGGGGTTAGGAAAATTTTGTTTGTAGAAGGGGGAAATTACCAGTACTTACTAACTCTCGCTATTGTCTTTTTTTTGGCTTTACTGTACAATCAAAATAAGACCCCTACATGGTTTATGCTTTTCAGAGAGTCCTCAAACCATTAGACATACACTGGACAGCAGAAGAAACTTGCCACTTCTGTCGAAGGCCACACATAAAAATTCACTCCATAGAAATAAACAATTTTTGTACACAGGTATGCTGCAAGACCCCTGACTAATCACATGCCCCAAAGCAAGTGATTATCTTTATAACAAAGAAGAAACTGACATGCACAGCAACTTGGTTACTGAATCAAAAGTCACACACAAAAGCACTCTCCACCAAGCAAAAAATGACCCATGAATGGACAACATTTTAAACAACCAATGACAAAGTGAACACCTGTTTTGTCAAAATGATGTGCATGAGTGGTTTCTGTATAAGGATGCCATCCTTACTGACTGTGCATACATATTATTGAAAAGTAATGATTGTGACTTCTTTACTTCGTCCTGTGACATTGATCTCTGCGTAAAACTTAAGGCTCATTCTGTTACAATCTGTGACTTTTGATTTGGTAACCAAGTTGCTGTGCATGTCAATTTCTTTGTTATAAAGATAATCACTCGCTTTTGGGCATGTGATTAGTAGGGGGTATTGTAGCATACCTGTGTACAAAAATTGTTTATTTCTATGGAGTGAATTTTTATTTGTGGCCTTTGACAGAAGTGGCAAGTTTCTTTTGCTGTCCAGTGTATATGTAGGCCCCTAATATAAAAAATAAATAGAAATAGGCAAAGGGGTAGGGTTAACCCTCACTGGCTCTGTGGATCCACACCTTAGCAATGCACATTAATACCCATAACTGAATTTTGGTCATTTTCAGTCACATTTTATTGGAAAAACCTTGCTTGTTATGGTTTAAGAGAATGACCAGCACAAAAGGTAAAAATGCCAACAAAACTAAACCAAAGTGATTGCCGAGGACATATTGCATGAGAAAGTGTGCTCCGAACCTGTCTCCACAAATGAAAAGAAATCCACCACTTTTTATGTACCATATCAACAAGACGAGCCATCAAAGGTTACAAATTTTGTTGTGGATTTGCAGCATTATGGGAAGAACTTGTAGCCTTACTAAAAGGTCTCTTCAAAGTACACTGATTTTAATTTTAATAGTTTTAGTTTATGAGTGAATGCTTTAAAGTGGCCCACTTTCCACTTGAACAGAAACTTCTTGGTCCTGTTGACTTGTGGAGTTGCTGCATACAAGTCAAAATAACCACCTTACCAGGGAAAAACACCAACACATGGCCAGCTGCCTGGTTCCTGTCTCCAGTTTGGTTTAAGTAAATGTTGAAAAATGTCCACTACCTAATTCATGTTAGCAGGTTCCTTTTTCAACTGATAAGAGTTTCCACAGTTTGGCATAGTAGTTGTCTTAACGGTAACAAAGAACATTTCTAAGTGAAACAATTTCACTTGATATCGTTTGGTTCACAGCCGGTTGTCTTTACTTATTAGAAAAGAGTTTCAGTGAGCCCTGAAATTTTATTTATTCATATTTTTTTGCAGAGGGTTGTGCCTGTTTGTGTGGACTATTGTCAGATCCTGGGTAGAAAGTAAGTCACCCATAAATTCAGTTGAGTAACAATTATGTGATCACAGACAATCACAGACACCAGACAGTCCAAAAGTTAATCAACCTTCCGTGCTATGCTCAAAACACGTCACATCACAACAAGCCCTTTGACAAGTTGAATTCAAGCACTACGTGTGCCCAGAAAAGCGTGGACAATTTTAAATGTTTAATTGCACGTAACGCATGTGTCTGTTCGCTGGAGTTAAAGCACGATGGGAGTTCACCCATCGTGCTTCAATTCCATCACCTTTTCCCCCCAAGGGACATCTTGTTCGGTCCAATCTACGACAAGTTCCAGCAGGACAGCATAGCCAAGGGCGTCTTCCTGGAGTGCCTGGAGCCATACATACTAAACGACTCGCTCACCTCTATCACGCCGGTCGTCATGAAGGACTTTGTAGACCACTACAAGACACGGATGATGATACACAACGTGGAGGCTTGCATTGTGCACATGGATATAGCCAGCTTAGACATACATCAGGTAGGATATTTTTGAAGGAAATAAAATAAAAAAAGGAAAATTGAAGTCAAATTTATACCAATGGAAATCAAAAACCAAACTAGAAACATGTAAGGACAAGTTTACATGAAGTGTGCAGTGAAGCCCAACAGAAGGTAGTAAGGAAAACTTATTTGGCCAGTTTTTGTAAATATGAAAAAATGGCGACACGACATCCTTGTTAACATAAATATGCATTATTACATTTATTCACTAAGAATAAATCATCATATTGAGCTGTTATTGGTAGAAGTATTTTTGATATTGTTCTTGAATTAATTGAGCCGGGTCCCTGCCAGTCAATATTGTGGAAAATTATAGTTGTTAAGCACAGAGAAGTGTGTGGCTGTAACAGCCATTACATGTTAGCGTGTTATTTGACAAGGTGGTACCGAGCCCATGCATTACCACAGTGTTGAAATACCTATGAACTTTAGACAAACTCAGCTGGAATTTGGATGCTCAACTGGAAAAAATTGATTCACTTACAGTTGTGACTTTCGCAGTTATCTGTATACATAAATATTCATATGACCACTTATAAATTTAAAACATGAGCACATGGCATCCATGTTGACAAAAATAAGCAGAAGTTTGGTACACAGTTCCCATTATCTAACATCCCATTTATAACTGTGATGTCATTGTGACTTGAGGCAGGCCTACTCACACAATGTGGCATTGGAACCTTTTGTACTGGAGGTAGCGCAGAGTGGCATGATTAGTCTATGGATGCCAATAATGACTGCTTCAGGAGCTTTCATAATGCCGTCATGATTGTTTTTTTTTTTTTGTATTTTGGGGGGTTATGTAGGTGGTGTCCCTGTGTTGGGCACACGGTCTGTACGATGCCATTATCTATGTGTACAACAAAGGCATGAACGACTACATCACCCCGCTGGAAGATTTACTGCAGGTTCTGGGCCAGGCTGTGCGGTCGGGAAAGCAACTCACAGGTGAGTTGCCATGGTGACAAGAGTGGAGTCAATGCAGTGATCTCTCCAGACACCTGACGCATCAACAGTCACCAGGCTATATGTCGTGTTAGTTTCTGTTCTGCAAAACATACCAACCCTCACCTTGCACGGATATTAGGGATAAATTTTGTCCCAAAACATTTTAAAGCCATGGTTAACGTTCAGTTCATGTTTTGCAGTCCAATCTCTGATAACATGCTTCAGAATTGTCTCTTGTCTGCCCCTCCATCTTTTTCACAGATCAGCAGATTAAGCTGGGTAACAAACTATTGGTGTATATCAGGTAAGAATCTTGATTCTACAAACATCCACTGAGTCCGCTAGACGGTATTGGTTCCCTCTCCCCCAAAATTGAAATCCTTATTTTGCTTTGGTGTCTGGAACTGTGTAACATAATTTCAAACTATTGCAAACATAATGTACAGGTATTGATATATGGATATTCCAATGCTGATTTATTTTGTGATGTAAGTTCGGTTTTAAAGCAGATTTACGCTTAATATGAGTAGTGAGTTCGTAAGAGGTCATAGCAGTCTATACATAGTGTTCTATCTCATTTGGTGATGTTTTGTATGAAATGGTCTCTGCAAAAAACATCTTGTCAATAGAACGATTGGAAGATATCAAAGGATCAGTTGTGATTTCCGACTTCCTTTGCTACGTTCGATGTTTAAGTGGAATTAGTAGTAGGGAAAACAAGAAATAGTGAATAATAATCATTTCTGTTATCAATTTCAGTTGTTGTCTCGCTGGCCGTGCCTATCCCTTAGGGGACATCCCATCTCATCTTGCCAAATCTGTCAAGGAAGGGGTGAGAATTTCCGTATATTGTAGCATTTTTTTAAACAAAACAAAGCAAACATGAAAGTGTCCTTGAGCATTGTCATAACTTAAATGTTTGTTAATTTACAAAAGCGAATCAAAGAGTTGGCAAAATTGTCACCTAGAAGATTAAGGCATAATCAGATTCCGTTTTCATGAAAGTGCTTGGCAGGCACAGTCAATGTACAGAGTATTATTTCTAAATAGCAAAAACAGGTTACCAATCAAAACGTAATGTGACTTATACACTGTTGGTCACTGTTCCCAGCCAATTACTGCCTAGTGATGAACAAGCTGTTCTCTAAGCAGCTGAACGAAACAGGACCTTTCGTAGAGGCTAACATTTTTTATGCTTGTCTGTAATGTTGAACAGTGACGCTTCCTTTGCAGCCTGCTTTAGTACTGAATCGTGCAATGAACACTCATTCTTTTTTTTAGGTTTGGAAGTGCCTGACGGCCCTACACACCAAGCAAGCCAACGAGGAGGAACACGCCTTCCCATACCTCCGCACCTTGCTTCATTTTGACACCCGGGAGTTCCTCAACGTCCTTGCCCTGGCATTTGAAGAGCCAGAGTTTGCATCTCAAGCAAGGTCAGTATTATGTCCGTGCATTGGAACTGGGCACCCGACCATTCATGCCTGGAACCAAATGAGCCGACCAACATCTATGGAATGGACTGGTTTCTTTGTGCATAGCAACAGTGAATTTAGTATGGAGAATTCAAATGGTTATGTTCACAGGAATTTAAAGAACTCAGTGTACCAGATTTTATTCAAATTTAAATTGCAAAAAGCTTATTATGGACCTGGGTACTCATAACCAACATTGGAAAAATAATTACCTCTCAGACGATGAAAAGGAAAGGTTTGGAAGTTGCTTGTCAAGAAATTTTAAAATCAAAACTGCAACTATACGTAATAATGCATTATGAATGATCTCTGTCATTAACAGTTCCTATGCTGCTGGCCTGCAATCCAAGCAACGTATCGTAGACATCTTACTGCAAGTCATGGTGGAAAGCATAGAATTCTCAGTAAGAAATTCCTCTCTTATTGACCCAATGATACTTGGATATAGCTTACCTGTACTTACGTTACATTCATACACTGCTTTTCATGTGTGCAGTGGCCAGTAAAAAGGGAGGTGACAGATTATTGTCCTGAGGTGATATTGACTACAGCCTTAGTTTGTCAGGAATCCATACCTCACATTACTGTTGGGATCATAACTCGCTAAGGTTGAAGCGCACTAGTTCCACTCATACATGACCTTGCATTTCGTCATTACTGAATCCTGTTGGCTATTAAGCCTTTTATTAGCATGTTCATGTGGCTACATCTGATATACTTGGCTGTGGCTAGAAGTAAATGCATGGGCTTATGGGAAATGCAGTGAGCCACTAGCTTGTGAGGTATGTGTGTTCTCTCCAGCCACAGTCAAGCTTTTGTAATACAGCCCAAGGAACCTTGTCATTGAAGGTTTAGCTGGTTGGACGATGTTTCAGTGTGCATTTCCATAGGATATTCTTGCACTTCTGATTTGATGTCAGTTGCTGCGACTGCATCGTGACAGGAAAGTGGTTGATTGTGCAGATTATGTGGAAGGAGCCCCTCATTAATAATAATCCCGGCTAGATAAGAAACAGTCAAAGTGTACCTTTTTTTCTGATCACAGCCTGCTCAGGTCGGATGCCTCTTCACATTCCTAGCCAGGCAGATGGCCAAGAACGATAACAACATCATCGTCAATCGACTTCTCTTTGAACAGGTGTGAAGGCAGGAACAAGAATTGTTACAATTAATCAGACGTCATCGCTCTGCTGTGAGCCGGAAGTGGCAAAATGCAGCGGCAAAGAAAAAAAACGTTGAAATGAATAATTTGGTGCTTTTCCTTATTAATAAAGCATCAACCATACAGTGGAACGATCACTTTAATACACCTCTGGGAAATCAAACGCCTTACTTTGTCTTGTATGTGCTCTGCTTGTCATAAATTGTAGTCATTGTAAAGGTTTGTTGACAGTGTGATGCCATGTTACCTGGTTGAATATTACCCAAACCTATATTTTTAATGAGCATGTTTCAGCCTTGACTCTATGCAAAGGCTGTTGCGTGGATTGCATCTTGTAGGACCAGTGGTGAAATTTTGAAATCTTTACAAATTCAGTAATTGTACAGAAGATAAGCCGCTATATGTTTACGATGCTTCATCCAATGATAACATTTGTAGATCATGAATATGTATGAGGTATTGTATCAGACATTATGAAGAGTGTGTCTGATTCGGTCAATTGAAGGTGCTAGAGTTTCTGTCCAATCCGGACGATGAAACCAGACATGAGGAGAGGGAGCAGGCCTTGCTGCAGCTGGTCAATGCAGGGGGAATGGAGCAAGTGGACCAGCAGAAACTTCTCAGGCTGGCCGAGGGAGCTAAATTGTAAGCAACAGATCCCGTTAACCCTAACAGTCCTCAGTCCACCAACAGGTGAAGGATTGAGGAGTGTTATGGTTAAGACAACTGTATGATAGAGTCCCCGGGTTCAGTGCACACTTATATTATTTCCCCTTTTTTCCGTGTTGAGCCAAACTGCCTGAGTCAGCAATTACGGGAGTTATGAACTGGGATAATTTGACCTTGCCTGAATTTCATTACGTGCATCATTAAGGGTAATGCAACAGTCTATGTAAGGCACTAGTAAAAAATCATTTGGAATGGTGTCTTGATGAAAATCAGAACTTTTTTCTTGATGTATTTTTTTCTTCATGGCCTTGGTTTAAGGGGTATTTGTTTTTATTTTGGTTACTGCAGCTATCGTGTTACTGAGCTCTTGTACGAAAAAAGACGGCAGTTTGACAGAATTCTACTGTGCTACCTCAGAGACCCATCAAGGAAGGTGAGAATTTAGGAAGTTAATTCATGCATTTTATAGCCACACAGTGTGTTAGATTAAGTTTGAACAGGATTGCCACGCTGTCATTTGCCAATTTATGTTGATATTTGATGAGTACACCCTGATTTCGTTTTTGAGAGAAAGTGTCTATGGACAATTTGGAAAGTTTGACTGTAACAGTCTCAAATCCTCCAATTTCAATACAATTTTACATACACCCTAGGGGGTTAGGGTTTATTCAACAGTGGGGCACGACAGCCTATATAATGTTTATTTTTCGGATGCTATTGGCTCCTAATCATTTTGTATCATTGACATTGTTTTGATAATGGAGCATTTTCTCAATTGCGGAAGTACATTACACATTCTCAGGGCCATACTTTTTCCCTGGGAGTGTTGAACTTGCCTTGACAATTTCCAGCCTAATAGCATAAAGGTGTGCAAACCTTATTTTTTTTCCACATTAACATTTAGTAGTGTGTGCGTACGTAGTTCTATTTGGTGGTACCCCCCCCAAAACAAATGTGAAACAGACTTTCGGGGGATGACTGTTTCCACTTCGTCTTTGTTCTTGTGAATGTCTACAGTTGGCAGTCTTCAGCTACATCAACAATGTCATGATAGAGAGCTGTTACACCGAACCAGAGAAAGAGGCAGTACAGAACCAGGCTCTGGAAAACCTACAGGTAAGAGCAGCACCAGTGTGCACCATTGGAGTATGACATTATTGGTTGAAGTATTTAGTGAGTTTTGTTTACCCTTGAGTCTGTACTTCATCAAAGATGGTTTTTGTTATTTTTCTTAAGCAGAATATTTACGTTCAGTTGGACAGGATGCCAGTTTGTTGCAAGTTACCCTTTTAACCCTAACCCCCTGAGGGTTGCTGGCTCTAACCTTCTCCATTCACACAAAGGTAAACA